GGCTAAGGAAAGCCTTCCCTTCCTTCTGCAGGATATTGGGGGGTTGCTGGACTCCTGTCCTTTATCCTAGCAGGATCTTGGGGAGCTCTGGGACCTTGGGGGGGCTATGGGACCCTTGCCCTTTATCCCTGCAGGGTATGGGGGAGCTGTAAGGATTTTGGGGGGCTTCACTACCCTTGCCCTAACCTCTGCAGGACATTGGGAGTGTCCAGACCACATAGTCTTAACCCCTGCAGGATGTGGGGGTGGGAATCTGGGATCCTGGGGGCTCTGCCCTTAGCCCTGCAGGATCTGGGGGGTGCTGTATGATCTGTGCCCCCCCTTACCTCTGCAGGTGCTCACAGCTCAGCTGGGCTGTATTCCACAAACAGACGTAGCGCGTGGGGATGCTGCAGCCCTGCTGGGAGTGATGTGCCAGCAGGAAGAAATCTTGCCTGGAGCACGGTGGGGGGAAGCAAAGAAAAGGCTTTTTTTTGCACCCCACCAGTTTGGTTTGCACCCCAGGATGGGTTTGGCACTGCAGAGGGGTGGATTTTTGCACCCCAGGGTGGGTTTTTGCACCCCAGGGTGGGGAGGTTTTTTGCACCCTGGGGTGTTTTGACACCCATTTTTTTCCCCCACCACGGTGGTTTTCCCCCCACTTTTCATCTCCCCCAGCCCCAGTGGTGCCACTCACCAGCCTGAGCTGGTGATGGTGTGGTCGATGACAGTGCCTGCTGGGGGTGACAGGAACTCTGTGCCCATCAGGTTGTAGAAACTGATATTGATCTGCTTCTGCACCACCATGACCACCAGGCTGGGATGGTAGTTGTCAAAGGCCTCAAAGCTCTTCTGCATCTGTGGGATCTCATACTTGAGCACTGTGTCCAGCTGGGAGTCAGCCACCCCATCCCGGTACACCACAATCCTCAGGGGCAGAGTGTGGTTCAACTGCAAGGCAAGATGGGAAGAAATCCCTGGATTTTTGTCCCCACCATGCACAGGATTAGCTGGAGGGGTGGGAAAGCATTCCCTGGCTAGTAGATGTCCATTGGGTCTCCATGGATGGAGGTGGGAATTCAATTTGATACTCTCAGAGTACCTGCACCCCCAAAAATGCTGCTCAGAGAGGGTTTGGGGAGGGCCGAGGGAGCACAGGGCAGGTGTGTCTGTATTAATCATGGGATCATGGAATGGTTTGGACTGGAAAGGGTATTAAAATCAACTCATTCCACCCCCTGCCATGGGTAGGGACACTTTCCCCTAGTCCAGGTTGCTCCCTGTTCAACCTGGCCTGGAACACTTCTAATGGAGCAGCCACAGCTTCTCTGGGCAACCTGTGCCAGTGCCTCAACACCCTCACAGGGAACAATTCCCTCCCAATATCCCATCTCTCCCCGCCCTCTGGCAGTGGGAAGCCATTCTCTCCTGTCCTGGCACTCCAAGTCTCATGCCCTGCACATTCCCAGAGTCCAGGGCTGCTCCTCCAGCACCAACAGAGGGATGGGAAAACAGAATCATGGAATGGTTTGCATTGGAAGGACCTTAAAATCATCCCAATCCACCCCCTGCCACAGGCAGGGACATCTTCCACTAGCCCAGGTTGCTCCAAGCCCTGTCCATCCTGACCTGGAACACTTCCAGAGGAACCTCAGTGGGCAAATCCCACGAGCTGAGATTTTCCTGCTGCCTGCCCTGACCCACGCTGCTTTTTCTCACGCTTGGGCCAAGGGACAGGGCTCAGCAGGTCAGTGCTGACAGGGGTAGAGGTGTAACGTGGCACTTCCCTCTGTGCAAACTAACCCTCCAGGCTGGTTCGCACGTTCCCGAGATAAGGATGAGCCATCCCAGCTCCACATCCAGTCCAAAGGCTGCTGGGGAGGTTTGCTCTCCTGCACACACCCAAGGCTGGAGGTTTTGGGGGGTTTTGCCGTGGTTTGGAGGAGGTTTGAAGCCCTGGAAGGGTTTGTGGTCTCACCTTGTAGAAGTGCTGCAGGGCCTGGGCCAGGCAGAGCCGCAGGCTGTCCGCGATCTCCTGGTGGGGCATCTGGAAAACCACCCTGGAGTACCACTTGGTGAGGATCCTGGGCATGAGATGCAAGGGGAACGAGCATCAAGAACTCCCCTAACACCAGCCAAAGTCCACTGAGGCCTTGTGCAACCCCTGGCTCAGCATTCCCAGTGCTTTCCCCAGCGATTCCCAATGTAAACATGCTGGGAAAGACCGTGCTGAGCGCAGCAGGTTGGGGAAAGGATCATCCTCACCCCATTCTCAGCACAAGGAAGGGGATTTTGGGGTGGCATCACCCAGATTCCCAGGGCAGAGCATGAGGAACACCTCCCCCATGCCCAGGCCAGCACGTACTGGTTCATGCTGGCCACGAAGCCGACGACGGAGCGAATCCCTTGGCTCTGGCTGTGGTGGATGTCCATGCCAACCACCATCAGCTGTTTCTGGGAGGGGGAAGAAGGCAGGTGGGATTTAGGATAAGTCACACACCTCCAGGCTTGGATCCCTCCAGCTGTGAGGGTCATGGTACGCACCAAGGAGAAGCCAACTCCAACTCTCCAGCTGATGCATCCCCAGAGAGAAGTCCATGACCACAATCACAACCCCCACCAGCTTCCAAGCTCATCCCATGTCTCTTCCCAAGGTTTTTTCCTGCCTTACCAGTGGGATCTCAACTCTCCACAGCTCACCACCTAGCTTGCAGTTGACCTGCAACAGAACTTTCTGGACCACACTCCTGATCTTGCCTGGATGGCTTAAGAGGGACTGTGCAGTGATGACCTATGGAGCAGGAAAACACAGGGAAAAGCGAGGCTGGAGAATCCCATGGCTTTTAGGGAATGTGGTCCCACCTGGCTAGGCCCCACCTGGGAGGGCACTGGGGCCTGCACACAGCACAGCTTCTTGATGGCTCCATACAGGTCGTCCCTGTTGTTGGGGATTAGGCATAGGAGCAGCTGCATCTTGTCCTGTGGGGAATCATGGAATTGTTCCTGCTGGAAAAGCCCTCCAAGACCATTGAGTCCAACCACCACTAAACCATGTCCCCCAGTGCCACATCCATGTGGTTTTTGAACACCTCCAGGGATGGCGACTCCAGCACTGCCCTGAGCAGTCTGTGCCAGGGCTGGACAACCCTTTCCATGAAGGAATTTTCCTTAATATCCAACTAAACCTCCCCTGGCACAGCTTGAGGCTGTTCCCTGGGAGCACAGCCTGACCCTCACCTGTCAGGGAGTTGTAGGGGAACAACCAGGACCCCCTGAGCCTCCTTCTGCCCAGGCTGAGCCCCCCCAGGTGCTCCCAGCACACTGTTCCCACCAGCCTGGTGACTCCCTAGGGATGTTCCCTCTCCTCACCTGACTTCCCAGAATGCTCCGGATGGTTTTGACATAGGTCTCCACGCGATCGTCCCTGAGCTCCTGCATCATGGGCTGTGCCACCTGCATGCCCAGGGGGCCACAGGTGCTGCTCACAGCTGCCAACAGGTCCTTGACTACGTGCTGCAGCCGCTTGGGATAAACCAGGCACCAGGAATGTAGGGAGATCTGGGAGAGACAGAATGTGTTTTGAGGGTGTTTCTGCCCAACTGTGCAGCAAATTTGGGAGAGGGAAAGCAGCCCAAGGGGAATCTGCAGCACAGAGGAGACTTTGGAAGAGGGAAATCTGGGAGGGGGAAAATGGCCCAAGAGGATCCTGGAGAACAGAGAGAGATTTGGGATAGGGAAAGCAAACCAAAAGGAACTTGCAACACATTCCCGTTTGGGAGAGGGAAAGTGGCCCAAGAGGAACATGCAGCATATTCCCATCTGGGAGAAGAGGAACCTAAGGAGCACAGAGGGAATCTGGGAGAGGGAAATTTGGGAGAGGGAAAGCAGCCCAAGGGGAATCTGCAGCACAGAGGAGACTTTGGAAGAGGGAAATCTGGGAGGGGGAAAATGGCCCAAGAGGATCCTGGAGAACAGAGAGAGATTTGGGATAGGGAAAGCAAACCAAAAGGAACTTGCAACACATTCCCGTTTGGGAGAGGGAAAGTGGCCCAAGAGGAACATGCAGCATATTCCCATCTGGGAGAAGAGGAACCTAAGGAGCACAGAGGGGAATTTGGGAGAGGGGAATTTTGGGAGAGGGGAAGTAGCCCAAGATAAACCTGCAGCACATTCCCATCTGGGAGAAGAGGAACCTAAGGAGCACAGAGGGGAATTTGGGAGAGGGGAATTTTGGGAGAGGGGAAGTAGCCCAAGATAAACCTGCAGCACATTCCCATCTGGGAGAAGAGGAACCTAAGGAGCACAGAGGGGAATTTGGGAGAGGGGAATTTTGGGAGAGGGGAAGTAGCCCAAGATAAACCTGCAGCACATTCCCATCTGGGAGAAGAGGAACCTAAGGAGCACAGAGGGGAATTTGGGAGAGGGGAATTTTGGGAGAGGGGAAGTAGCCCAAGATAAACCTGCAGCACATTCCCATCTGGGAGAAGAGGAACCTAAGGAGCACAGAGGGGAATTTGGGAGAGGGGAATTTTGGGAGAGGGGAAGTAGCCCAAGAGAAACCTGCAGCATATTCCCATTTGGGAGAAGAGGAACCTAAGGAGCACAGAGGGGAATTTGGGAGGGGGAAATTTGGGAGAGGAAAACTTGGGAGGGGGAAAGTGGCCCAAGTGGAACCTGCAGGACAGAGGGAGATTTGGGATAGGGAAAACGAACTAAGAGGAACCTGCAACACATTTCCATTTAGGAGAGGAAAAGTGGCTCAAGAGGAACCTGGAATACAGACGGGAATTTGGGAGAGGGAAAGTGGTCCAACAAGATCCTAAGGAGCAGGCAACAAGGAATTCCTGCCTCTGGAAGCCTTCCCCACCCCGGGAGGAGGTGGAAAGCAAACACCACGTACCTCTGTCTGCCTCGGAAAAACAGGCTGGAGCTCACATCCAACACAAACAAGGGAAGGGTTTGAGCTGGAAGACGCTCAGCCCGAATGCCAGCAGCAGGGAAACCCATCCCAGTTTTCAGACAAGGGGAGGCTGTTGCTTACCACTGAGATGGAGACTTCCTTGATCACCTCCTTGTGCCAGCTGAGGTCGTTGCCCGGGAAGAAGGAGCGATGCCCTAGGTTCACCCTCTCCGCGGGCAGGATATGCCCCTGGACCTGCAGCCAGCAGGAACCAGGGCAGAATGCAGCTCTTTCCACCTCCATTCCTGGGGGGAATGCTCAGAGAAGCCCCTACCCTGTGGATATCCACGTCCAGGCACAGCCCCCAGTGTTCCAGCTCCTGGGAAGCGTCGGGTGTGTCGCGGATGCGGCGCAGGAGGTTGGTGAGGCGCGTGTAGTGCTGCCGGGGGCTCTGCACCATCTTCCGTGTCAGCTCCTGTTGGGGGAGTCCCAGGTGGGAGAGAGGTGGGATTGGGCTGGGATGGGGGTCCAAGCTCCCCCTGGAAGCGGCTGCAGGAGTTGAGGCTCAGGGGATTACTGGGTGGAACAGGCTCTGACCTTCACCACGCGACTGTTCCTCTGCACGTCGGACAGTCCCATCAGGAAGGTGAGCTCTGGCACCAGCAGCACCATGTCCAGGCAATGCTGCAGGAAGGCACAGGCACAGTCAGAATTCCAAGTGACTGGAAGTCCCTGCTCCCCCGTGAGCCTAGAACAGACCATGGATCTTCACTTCCCCACCTGAGCTCTTCATTCATGGCTCACCTTTCCCTTTGGCATCTGCTTTTCCTTGGGCCTGTGAATGAGCAGAGGCTGCTCCACATCCCTGATAGTGATCCCGTAGGTTTCTCTGGGAAAACAGCATCATCATAGAATCCTAGAATGCTTTAGCTTGGAATGGAGCTTAAAATCATCCCGTTTCAACCCTCTGGTGTCAGCAGGGAGATGACATCAAGCAAGACCTTCCTGCTCACCCACCTCAGGTCAGCACCAGGCATTGAGCCCTTCCCAGTCCTGAGGGATGTTCCAGCAGGTCCCTACCTGTAGTAGTCCAGGAAGGTGATCTCCTTGCCACTGGCCAGAGTGAAGCTATCCTTGGGGGACTTGTCCCAGGCGATGTCGTCGACGCGGTAGGTGTGGTTGTTGTAGCGGGTGATGACCACAGCCCCCACCAGCTGCTTGGCACACTCCTCCTGGAACACTGTGTGCCTCTGGGAGTAGATCGTTCGCCTGTGGAAGAAGGAGAGGCTCCTGGAATGTTCCCTGCCCATGCCAGCCCCAAAACAAACCCCCTTTCCTTGCAGCTCTGCACACACAGCGGCTGGAAAACCTCCTCATCCCTAAGGCATTCCAGGATTTTCCTGTCTCTCTTACATGACACTGAGGACAGACTCGCTGCAGATGATTTTGTGGATGGCATCCACCATGAGGAAGAGCCCACCGTCCCTCTTCCGGATGCTGACGGCGTATCCAGGCCAGATCTGGAGGCTGAGTCCACAGAGAAACATGCCCAATGCTCCTGAGTTATTGCCAGAGCCTCCCCAGGAGACAAACAGCCAGGGAACATCCAGAACACACGGGATTTATATCCCAGTTGTCTGCCAGCTTCCACCTCCCATCCCTGAAAACAGCAGCTCCCAGCTCAGGCCAACCAGAGCTGAGCTGGGAAAACTTCCCAACTTCCAGGCTGCAGGGAATCAGGGATGTTCTGTCTCCCTCTCCCTGGCAGCAGCAGGTGCCCACCTGTGTTCCTGCAGGATAGTGGCCTGGGCAGGCTCAAAGAAATTCCTCCCAACCAGGCTCAGGCTTAGGATTTTCATCACCCTAAGGAAGGGAAAGCAGGAAAAGTAGGAGTGGTGAGGTGAGGAGGAAGAGGGTCTCCCCCCTGGAGCTCAGGGAAGGTCTCACCTGCGGAAAACCACGTTATAAAAAGGGATGCAGAGATCAGAGTTGGGCTCCAGCACCTTCGTCAGCTGGATGGTGATGGAGATCTCCTCCCCGGTGCTCCTGCTCAGAGCCTTCAGGCTGACCTGCTGCAAGGCAACAGGGGGTTCTCCCACCCAAAACAAGGGCTGGAGGTCCGAGGAGGGATCCTGTGCCCCCAGAGTGGCTAAGGACCCCCCCAGCCCTTACCTGTGGGAGCAGGATGGGCAGGAAGAGGATGGAGCCGTCGAAGGCTGTCACGTCTCCCGTCACCGCCCGCTGCTCCTTCAGCATGGCAAAGCGTGTGTTCCTGCCCTCCACCTCGGGGCTGCCAGGCACACAGGGGGTCTTACCCCTCCTCTGCACCCCCACACCCTGCTCAGCACCCCCAAAATCCCCCTGAGATGGAAAAACAGAGCTCTTTGCTTTGCTGTGCCATGGTCGTGCCGGACACAGGGACACAGAGGGCTCTGCCTGGGGACACCACCTCGAGGGGCTGTGGGGAACTCTCAAGGAGCTGAGGGAAACCACAGGACCCCCCAGTACCTGAAGGTAACGTGGTATTGGTAGACAGCTTCGTTCTGGCAGTGGATTTTAACCAAGTTCAGCCCCACCTGGACAGTGTTTCTCTTCACTACTGGCTTTGTCCCTGGAGTCCTGAGGGACACAGGGGGTCAGTGGTGACCCCAGCAGTACTTGGACCCCAAAATGAGGGGTGGGTCAGCACTCACGGAGTGGCAGGAGCAGCTGGGGGAGCTCCTGCAGTGGGCAGAGGAGGCAGGCAGGGCCGAGGGCCGGGCGAGCGTGGGGTGGGCAGAGTGGTGGAGACTCTCCCAGGATGGGTGAGGGGCACATCTCCTACGCATTGCCACAGGATTCTGTGTGTCCACAGGGTGGGCAGGGTGAGCCTTGGCACACTGGGGGTGTCCTGGCTGTGATGATCACCACCAGCACCCCTCAAAATCTCCCTGCTCCACAGCCAGACCTCCTGCCCCACAGCTGCCTGGGGGGCTCCAAACACCCAATTTTGGGGACTGTGGTACTGAAGAAGGAGGGCAGGAGGTGGTGTGGGCACCAGTGTGGTCACACCACTGGTGTCACTGGCAGAGGGCCCCCAGCTCTTACCACAGTGGTGGGTGATGGAGCATCACAAGGGCTTGGGGACGGGGCAGGAGTGGGGACAGGGGAGGATAGAGGGACATGGGGAGTGGAGGAATAAGTGAATATGGGGGAATAAGGACATAGGGGGGATAGAGAGGGACAGGGGAGATGGGAATGGGGAGATAAAGGGGATGGGGGAATGGATGGAATGGGAAGGACAGGAATAGAGGGAATGTGGGGAACAGGAGTGAGGACAGGGGAGGATAGAGGGACACAGGGAGTGGGGGAATAGGGGAATAAGTGGATATGGGGGAACAAGGACATAGGGGGGATAGAGATGGATGGGGAGATGGGAATAGAGGGAATGGGGAGATAAAGGGGATGGGGGGATAGAGGGAACAGGAGGGACAGGAATAGAGGGAAGGGAGAGATAAAGGGGATGGGGGAATAGAGGGAACAGGGGGGACAGGAATAGAGGGAATGGAGAGATAAAGGGGATGGGGGGATAGAGGGAACAGGAGGGACAGGAATAGAGGGAAGGGAGAGATAAAGGGGATGGGGGAATAGAGGGAACAGGGGGGACAGGAATAGAGGGAATGGAGAGATAAAGGGGATGGGGGGATAGAGGGAACAGGAGGGACAGGAATAGAGGGAAGGGAGAGATAAAGGGGATGGGGGAATAGAGGGAACAGGGGGGACAGGAATAGAGGGAATGGAGAGATAAAGGGGATGGGGGGATAGAGG